TGTAATTAGTGAGTACAACATATTGTGGAAGGAAAATTTCTTGTCACTTAAACACATTATGAAGATGACAGTGACCAACTACATTATTTGATAAACAGTTTTGTAAAGTTCTTTTTTAAGTTATGTATTTTAATTTAAAAAGCCCTGGGGCAGGCAACCCAAAAAATACCCAAAATAAAAGAATTGCAGATAATCCGACTATAAATGAAGTCAGTGGAAATATACCACATTTATTTTATTTTATGTAAATTTATCATTCTTCTCCTCCAGTTATATATAATGTTTTATGATGTTTAGCAACTAAATTGGATAACAAAGAAAACACGATTTAAAACAAATCGCTAAATATAAAAACAATGCGAACGCCAACGTTAACAGATTTATAGATAAACAAATATTATGTGTTGTATAGATCTGTCAAACTATCAATTAAAATCGTATTTTTAATTAAACGAACATGGAGGTTAGAAAACAGGAGAACGATCGCTACGCGCTAAAGCATAGCCCGCCTGTCCCTGAAAATTTGTAGAACTTAGAGCCACGCTGCCGTCGGTAAGTACCTAGTATCTGCGAAGTAATTTTTTAATTATTGACAAAAAGAAACATTATAAAATGGTGAAATATTATTAAAAATAATAATAAATCAAAAATAATTAATAATTTATATTTGTAATAATGTATAATAATTAAAATTATAAGAAACATAATTTAAAATTTATTTATTACCGGATCTATCTCGGATAATAAAATTTATTTATTATCCGAGTACAGAACCGGAGTTAGAAACCTATCCAACTGCAGAGAGGTGTAAGAAAGGGTGACGTTATATCCCCGAAACTCTTCACCGCTGCTTTGGAAGACGTTTTCAAGCTACGGGACTGGAAAGGATACGGTATTAACATCAATGGCGAGTACATCACTCACCTTCGATTTGCCGACGATATAGTCGTGGCAGAATCGCTGGATGACCATCCATGTTCAATAACCTAAATGGTGTCTCCCAAAGGATAGGTCTTAAGAAGAACATGGACAAAACAAAGATCATGTTTAATGTCCATGTCACACCTATGCCGGTAGTTGTTGGAAGCACTGCTCGAAGTTGTTGACGAGTACGTTTACCTGGGACAAATAGTCCGACTAGGTAAGTCCAACTTTGACCGAGAGGTCAATCGACGGATTCAACTCGACTGAGCAGCGTTCGCGAAATTACGATACATCTTCTCGTCAGGTATACCTCAAACTCTGAAAACTAGATTGTACAACCAGTACAATCTAGTTTAGTATAGTAGGCTGGTCCTACTCAGGAAAGAGGGGCGCCCCGCGGACTCAACATCCGCGTACCGGCCCATAGTGCTGCTCGACGAGGCGGGCAAACTTCTTGAGCGTATAATCGCAGATCGCCTTGTCAGCCACTTGTGCAGAGAGGGGCCGGACCTGGACGAGAACCAGTTTGGTTTTCGTCGCGGGCACTCCACCATAGACGCTATTACGTATGTGAGGGCCCTGGTGGAGGAGACAGTATCCCGGGGTGGGGTGTTGCTGGCGGTGTCTTTAGAAATCTCCAACGCCTTCGACACCCTACCTTGGAGTTGTATTCGGGAGGCGCTTAATTACCATCGCGTGCCTCCCTACCTCCGACGCACAATAAGGCATCGGCTACGACTGGGTGCTGAGAGGTGAATTCCCGTCGGGCGCCGACTTAACGTGTTATGCGGACGACACGCTCGTCACTGCCCGGGGGAGCTCGCACAGGGAAGCAGCGTTGGTTGCCACAGCTGCGGTTTCACAAGTGGTGAACCGCATCCGGCGCCTGGGCCTGGAGGTGGCCCTAAACAAGTCGGAGGCCATAGTATTCCATGGCCCTTGACGCACGCCGCTGCCGGGATCACACAACGTGGTCAGCGGGGCCCGGATAACTGTCGAGTCCACCATGAAGTACCTGAGATTGGTGCTCCACAGCCGATGGGAATTCGGAACCCACTTCCGGCGGCTGGCGCCCAAACTGATGCGTGTAGCGGGCGCGCTTTCAACGTTGCTTCCCAACTTGGGGGGCCCGAGCGCCATCTGTAGGCGGTTGTACGTGGGAATCGTGCGGTCCATGGCCCTCTATGGTGTCCCTGTGTGGGCTATGGACATGATGGCCAGCACTCTCGCCATTCCGCGCTAACCGCAGAGGGCGATGGCCGTCAGAGCCGTCCGCGGGTATCACACGATTTCCTACGAGGCAGTTTGCATCCTGGCCGGATCCCCGCCATGGGACCTAGAGGCGAAATTACTCTATATATTATTATATCGATGGCGCGAGGAAGAGCGGGTACGGGGCTCGAGGCCGGTGTAGCGACAGATAGCGCTGCGACGAGAGGAGCTCCGTCAGGTCTTGGTGGCGGAATGGCGGCAAAGGCTTCTGCGCCCTACCGCTAGTCTCGCTACCGTCGAGGCAATCCGGCTAGTACTCGACGACTGGCTCGGGAGAGGGCACGGCTCCCTGTCGTTTAGGGTGACGCAGGTGCTGTCAGGGCAAGTACCTGTGCCGCATAGACAGGGAGCCGGACGCTCGGTGCCATCACTGCATCCATTGCGGGAGGACACGGCGCAACACACACTCGGCGAGTGTGTAGCTTGGGAGGAGCAGCGCCGTGTCCTCACAAATGAGGCGATCTGTCGCTGTCGGCCTTGGTGCGGAGGATGGTCGGTAGCGCAGAATCGTGGGACGCAGTGGTATCCTTCGGTGAGGACGTGATGTCGCAGAAGGAAACTGCGGAACGGGGAGATGATAATATTAATAAATAATAATAATAATTTCGTTATTTACTTTTTTTCTTTGAACGATATTATAATTATTTCAAACTAGCGCACAATACCCGCTTTTATTGAGACAACTTAGCGATTGTAGCGCCTCACTTATTTTGTCCATATTTCTGGCACTTTAGTTTTCTACAGCGATCGTTCTCCTTATGGAGTGTAGAGGTATAGAGTATATACTGTGTATTAAAAAGTGTCCGTAAAAAAAAAACCGTTAAATCAGGGTGGCGCCACTATAGCTACGGGGTAAATTTGAAAGAACGCGCCGAAAAATATTAGTGGGATAGACGACTTATTCGAGGTTATATTTACTAAATAAAATTATTTTAGATTTTAGAGCTACTGAGCAATTTAGCAGCACACTTCGCACCGTCGACAACTGCTGAGTTCATTTCATGTAGCTGTTTCCTGTAGTTACTTCAGCGCTGTTGTGGAGAGTTTTTTTAACTGTTATTTATTGCTTACAGATGGACACTTTTTCAACTATTCTCCTGTGAGAGATTGTTCTCCTTACCTCTACACTCCATAGTTCTCCTGTTTTCTAACCTCCTTGTCCGAACGATCGCCGTAGAAAATAGTGTCCCAGAAATATGGACACCATAAGGCGCTGCAATCGCTAAGTTCACTCAATAAAAGTCATTTTAAACCACTTGCACATCAACGCACAATAAAATATTTCTCCATTTTTTAATGTTACTTTTTGTCAAAAATTAATAAATTACGGGTCATTAAAATTTTCTTACCAAACTTTGTACATTATTCAACTAACTTCATCTACTTGTACTCATAAACAGCTAACTTCGCAGCCACTACTCACCAACAGCAGCGGCGCTATAAATTCTACAAATTTTCAAGGACAGGCGGGCTATGCTTTAGTACGTGGCGATCGTTCTCCTGTTCTCTAACCTCCGTGTAAAGTTCTTTTTTAAGTTATGTATTTCAATTTAAAAATAATAAATAAATATTAATTTGTATTTTACTTTGTAGAGGCAGTTCGAAACCATTGATTAGTGTGAGTAATTATAGTTTCGACCGTTAATGGTTCAGTTGTCGTGTTCTATTTTTACCGAGATTCCAACGTACCTATGTAAATATTCCGTTTTCCATCGCTTCCAAAATGACTCCACTAGCCTGTCTATTATCTAATAAGTTATGACGTGAAAGAAAATGAAGTTCATCATCGTCTATGTCTATAGCAAATAAGATTTCAAAGGCGTTAGACTAGAAAAATGTGCAAGACCTAAGGTCCGCCATTCCCGGGAATGGCGGACTAAGTTACGTGCGGAAAGAATCCAATAATTCTGACGCAAAATTAACATCGACAATTCGGGGCCGGCGTGAATATTAAATTTATGGTGGTAATCAACTAGTCATAAATTCAAAATATGATATTTACGCAGTAAAACTATAAACTGCCGTTCATCGAAACTCAAATGTGAGTTAGACAAGTGCCCGCCTACTCTAACAATTCCAGCTTAAGATAATTTAAAGAGGAAAGCATTTACAGGGGTGGGTTTCTTACTGCTTCTTGGTCTGCGGTCTCGATGGCGATGACCTTTGTGTTGCGACTGCTTTGCAAGTGCTGCGCGACGATAAATTATATGCACTAGCGCACGATGAATAATTGCGCTAGGCAAAGTGGTCACTATTAGGTTGTTGTGACCGACTGCCACAGGCGCAAACACATCTAGGGTCGATCTTCAACTGCTCGACGCGGCCGCGGCACGTCTACTACTCTTGTCGGTCGGTGGCTTTTACCGGCCCTTTCACTTTTCTGTCATTAGGCGATCAAACTGACGCCACTAATCTAGCCTCCTATTAGCGTGCGAAATGACGCCACATAATTTTGCTTCCTCCCCCCCCCCTTTAAGTGCGTGCAGAAAGGAATGCGGATGGGATGGAGGAAGGCACCAGCCAGTTACTAAACAACAGAACAAAAAATGCGAGGGAACTCGTTTTCCGCGCAACCACAACCCATGGAATGATACGAGGTAGTGGATATTCTTACACCACAATTATATAGTGAAAGTGTATTTCCGTTCCTACTCAAATCTGCGCACATAAATGTCATTTAATTGTATGTTTAAACTTTGCTCACGTGGCTGGCGCCATGGTTACAGTAAGGTTTCTGGTTCACGGCTTTTGAATTTACATAGAAAATAATATTTGTTTATTTTTTTATTTCTTGTTTTACACTTTTATGGTAAATATGTCTTTCCTTGGCGTAGATCTCCAAATTTGTGAACGCCTTTAGAGGGTTTTTCGCAAAAAAATATTGCGGGACTATCACAGTTTTCAGTAGCAAGGAGACCGCTTCGTCGGATACCACCACAACGTTCTCTTTTAGTCTCATTGGAAGCAAGTTGTGGGCATTTCAAGTCCCAGTCGAGGAGTTTGTTTATGCGTTCACCTGTAAATACGTTAAAAATTTACTAATATAAAATATTATCGTGCGTGCATAGTTTTTAGTATCTACTTATACCTTTAATATTTCATGCAAATACAATCGGAAAATTTTATTTTACCGAACAATAAATTAAACTAAGGAATATGTGTTACAGGCTTACAGGTTTATAAATATTATTGATTTCGTACCATGTACAGTCTTAAAATGATACATTTGAAAAAGATCGTTAAATCCCAAGAAGGCGAAGTCGCCTGGCGTCTTCACATGGTCTACATTCTTAAATAGCTCACGAATGTACTCTGCTTCGTCACGGTCGTCTAGTATGGCAAGGTATCCGCCTGCAGAAAGGCAGCTGCCATGTGCCTCATGCCATGTCTGTGGCTCTGTGTGGGTTAGATAACAAGAACCATTGTTGCCCAGTTTCCAACCTGGAAATAAAAACGCATTAGAAATAAGATGAAAGTTTTCATGTATTAAGTACCGAAATACTTAATAAAATAACCTTGTATTATTACACCAATACTGTACATTAAGTGTAAGTACTTATTTTATGGATTTAATAGCGTTTAATTTGAACTTGATATTAATTTTCTTTGTTTCACTGCACCCTCAGGCCCCACGAGCCCATGGATAGACTGAGAATTGGGAATAAAAAAATATATAAGATAAAACGTGATAAAATTAGACCCAGTGCACTGACATCCTTTAATATCTGACGCTATAATCCACTTTGAGTCGTAGCGTTTTCGGCGAAATTACTCCTAGTGAAATCAGAAGATTTATTAAGACTTGACATCGGAGAATCTCCTGTCTGATTGAATATGTGTGCTGGTGTTCCACACGGCTGCGTGCTATCGCCAACGCTGTTTCTTCTGCATATCAATGATATGTTGCAAACCCGTAACATTCATTGCTATGCAGATGACAGCACTGGTGATGCTCTTTACACCGGTTGAGCCAATATTTCTCGGGAAAACGTCTCCGAGTGCCGGAGTAAACTTGTGTCTGAAGTCGAGCCTTTGCTGAACAGAGTCTCGGATTGGGGGCAACTAAATCTAGTCCAGTTTAACCCCCAGAAGACACAAGTTTGCGCGTTAACCGCTAAAAAGAAACCCTTTGTCGTATCCCCTCAGTTTCAAGGCACTCCCCTTGTTGCCTCAGCCAGTATTGGAATCCTCGGCGTCGACATATCGAGTGACGTGCAGTTTCGTGGTCACTTGGAAGGGAAGGCCAAATTGGCCTCTAAAAAGCTTGGCGTGCTCAGCAGAGCGGGACAGTATTTCATGCCGGCACACACCGCCTGCAACTTTACAAGGCGCAGGTTCGGCCGCACATGGAATACTGTTCCCATCTCTGGGCTGGGGCTCCCCAGTACCAGCTCCTTCCCCTTGACCGCATCCAGCGCAGAGCGGCTCGAATCGTCGACGACCGAGTGCTTTTCGATCGGCTCGATTCACTGGCATTGCGAAGATATGTTGCATCTCTTTGCATTTTCTTTCGCATATACATGGAGAGTGCTCTGAGGAATTGTTCGGATTAATCCCAGCCGCCAAATTTCGTGAACGCACTACGCGGCAAACGTCCCGATACCATCCACACCATCTGGATGCTTGGCGGTCCACCACTGTACGTTTCAAAAGGAGTTTTCTTCCGCGTACAACCTTTCTGTGGAATAGTTTACCATCTGCGAATTTTTCCGGACCGATACGACCTGGGGCCTTTCAAGAAAAGAGCTTACTCCTTTCTAAAGGGCCGGCAACGCACCTGCAATTCCCCTGGTGTTGCGGTTGATCATGGGCGGCGGTAATCACTTAACATCAGGTGAGCCGCATGCTCGTTTGCCCCCTCTTCTATATAAAAAAAAATATATATTGGAATTTGAGTAATCGGTTTTATAACAACACGGACCTTCGTTGTTGATTTTTGTGGGCAATTCCACTGAATCTAAGACAGTTGGCTACCTCGTTCATTCAAATTTTAATAAGCGTACTTTTACACGATGTCACAATCTATACCTTTAAGAAAACGCCTTTCCAAAATACTTACTCGATTCTATATTATAAAAGGTTTGTTCTCCTAATTTTGTATTTTATGGATGGTAAAACACGCTTAGCATTGAGTCTATAAATTTTATTATTATTCTCTTTTATTCACATAATGCAACATGTATCAGATAATATTGTATGGGCTAGCGGGGCTTTTTGATACATATTCATGTGTCACGGTGTCAGTGTATTAATAATGTAAGGGAACATTCGGGCATAGTGGATCTATTATTTTTAAGATAGTGTAGCTTAAAATATTTTCAACGAAAAGCTGAAGATGGACTTTTTAAATTAAGAAACACATTCTTAAAATCAAAATAAATCTATTCTGAAAATGGGCCAATTTGGCCCATTTTCAATATATCGTCAATTTGGTCGATAATCTTTCGCCAAGGACGTCCCTTTCCGACTCTTCCGTTGACTTCTGCAACATAAATTTGATTTGTCACTCTTTCCTCATTCATTATTTCTACATGACCAAACCACCGAAGCATTCCTTTCTTAATCCTGGTCACATCATCTTGCAAACCTCACTCTTCTCTTATTACACAATTTTTTACCCTGTCACTCAGATTCAGCCCTAACATATTTCTTAACGACCGTATTTTTACTGCATTTATTCTACTCTCGTGTTTCTTCTACAACGCCCAACTTTCGCTACCATACGTTAAAGTAGGGACTTTTCAGATTACAATATTGTAACTCTTTTTTAAATTCATAGACATCATTTATATGTAGCCTCGCCAACCCCGCTATATAATATACTTTGAACGCCTCGTTGGTTAATGTGTTTACCTCGGTATGTCGGTCATTAGGACATCAAGCGCGACTGCTTCTGGACATTCGCACTATAAGAATAATACAGCTGCAACATGGCTCTACCACTTAAAACTATGGCCCTTCCAAGTACAAATCAACATCTCGCAATAATATTCGGGGTCCAATACCATATATAAAATATATAGGTAATGTAGGCTCAAATCATCAAAATATTTCTTTAAAAAATAAAAATAAATTGATTAAAAACATCTAATTTGTATTTTACTCATCTAATTTAATACACGGTCCTGAGCCAACTACATTCATCGACTTCTTGCATCTCTTACCAGGTCATCACTCCATCTATTGAAACACATACCATATGTTTTTTTTGTTTCTGTCGCAATTTTTTTAGCAAACACTTTATTTGAAAATTTGGCAATCATGTTTATGTCTTTATATTGTCATTAGCATACTACATCGTGACGTTTCGCTATCGAAAATAAATGGCGGCTCTGTGGGATAAACTCTCTAAGAATGCACAATTGCGCAGTACATAAGTTGGAATCAATTATGCATAATATTTTTTCTTATCACGACCAGCAGGCGAAGCGCCAACCTAATATCCTCGCCTCGTAGGTACTGCGTCATTATAAAACGTAATTATAAAGTTTATATTTAAGTCGCACTCTTTTACATTACATTTTTAGATGGAAGTCTTGTCTTGTCTGTCAATCAATACGCAAAGTTCGGAATTTTAACTTTGACATATTCCCTCTGAATTTTCTTGGTTTGGAAGCAAATCGAATCTCATCAAACGCTCTCAATCTCAATTCCCAGACTGTGCAATCTTGACTATCATCATCATCATCATCAACATTACGGCCCTTCACAAATCCACTGCTGAACATAGACCTCCTCCAAGTAATGCCACAAAGCACGGTCCTGAGCCACTTGCATCCATCGACTTCCTGCATATCTTACCAGGACGTCACTACATCTAGTGGGGGTCGCCCTACACTACGCCTACCGGTACGAGGCTGCCACTCGAGAACCTTTCTTCCCCATCGGTTATCGGTTCTTCGAGCTATATGGTCGGCCCATTGCCACTTCAGCTTACTAATCCGTTGGGCTATGTCGGTTACTCTGGTTTTACTGCAGATATCCTTATTTCTGAGTCTACAACGCAGAAAAACTCCGAGCATAGCCCTCTCCATAACTCGCTGAGCGACCTTGAGCGTCCTCATACGGCCAGCAGTGAAGGAACACGTCTCAGATCCGTAAGTCATCACTGGCAACACGCACTGGTTGTACACTTTAGTTTTCAGAGATTGAGGTATACCTGGCGAGAAGATGTGTCGTAATTTCCCGAACGCTGCCCAGCCGAGTTGAATCCGTCGATTGACCTCTCGGTCGAAGTTGGACTTACCTAGTTGGACTATTGTCCCAGGTAAACGTATTCGACAACAACTTCGTGCATAGTGCTCCCAACAACTACCGGCATAGGTGTGACATGGACATTAGACATGATCTTTGTTTTGTCCATGTTCATCTTAAGACCTATCCGTTGGGCGACACCATTGAGGTCATTGAGCATAGTGCTTAGGTCCTCCAGCGATTCTGCCATAAGTACTATATCGTCGGCAAATCGAAGATGAGTGATGTATTCGCCATTGATGTTAATACCGTATCCTTTCCAGTCCAGTAGCTTGAAAACGTCTTCCTATGCAGCGGTGAAGAGTTTTGGGGATATAACGTCACCCTGTCTTACGTTTCTCTGTAGTTGGATAGGTTTCGAACTCTGGTTCAGTACTCGGATAGCCATCGTAGCCCTACTGTACAAACACTTCAGCACTTCGATATACCGATAGTCAACTTGGAACCGCTGAAGGGACTGTAGCACCGCCCAAATTTCGACGGAATCAAAGGCTTTCTCATAGTCCACATACGCCAGGCAAAGTGGCAGATTGTACTCGTCGGACTTCTGTACAATCTGCCGCAGGGTATGTATCTGGTCTATGGTACTGAAGCCTTTTCGGAAACCGGCTTGTTCGGGAGGCTGGAAGTCGTCGAGTCTGCGTACGAGACGATTCGTAATGACTCTCGAAAACAGCACGTAGACGCGGCTCAGAAGGGATATCGGTCTGTAGTTCTTCAACAGGGCTTTGTCACCTTTCTTAAAGAACAAGACCACCGCACTTCTGCTCCACGCCTCCGGAGTAGTGCCACCATGGAGGACGGAATTGAAAAGCTTCTGAAGGACTTCAAGTACCGGTGTTCCACCCGCTTTCAGAAGCTCCGCTGTAATTCCATCCTCGCCTGGGGCCCTGCCGTTTTTAAGGTGCTGGAGAGCCATTCTAATCTCACTCAGACTGACGTCCGGGATATCATCGGAATAGTGTCGAATAAGACTTGCTCTTGGATCGTTACTCACACTTGCGTGTGACTCCAACGATGATGTGTACAGCTACCCATAGAACCTCTCAATCTCACTCAAAATCTTAGGTATCCCGGAAACGATGCTGCCACATTTAGTCTTCAGCTTTGACAGTTGGCTCTTTCTGGCATACAGATCTCTGGCGAAGACTTTGGAGCCCTGGTTCCGCTCGATCGCTTCTTAACTT